CCGCTGGATGTCTTCGAGTTCAGCCCGAGCCAGCAGGCGCTCCCCGCTGGCTGGGCCCCAAGAGGCACGCCGCTGCTTTGGGAAGCAGGAGAGCCTGGGGCACGTGGGGAATGGGAAGGGCTAAGCGGGGCAGGCCAGCGCCAGGGCCAGCGGCAGCCTCCGTGCTTGGGGCCCGTTGGGGGCCAGCAGCTCAAACCAGGGAGGTGAGGAGGGAGATGCCGTCGCCGTCCTAGAAACGAAGCTGCAGAGCAACTGACGCGAACTTTTTATTTTATTTCTGTCCCCGCGAATCCGGATTGGCGCTGAAAGCGCATGCAAAACTCCCATTTGCTTAGGACCGAGCCCGAGCGTGGGGTTCTTCCCTTTTCCCCTTAAAGGGAGCGCGAGAGCGCATCAGAATCCGGGACGCTTTGCGCGTTCTGCTCCCTGAATGAATGGTCCTCTCCCGCTCTTGGGCGACTCTTCTGGTTTTGCTTTCGGTTGGATCAAAGGCCGGCTCTGGAGGAAGAGGGTTGCTGAAGCTGTATCTGGGGAGCATCAGTTAATAGCGCATGCGTGCGCACACATCACACCACCTTGCAGCGTTTGTCAGGATCAGTTTGAGCAAACACCGTAGTTGGTGCAAAGCGGCCGTGGAAATTTGATGGCCGTCTTCTCCTGTCCAGCCCTTTTTTGGTGTTCCTGAAGATCCTTGGTTCCTGGGCAACTTTCCTGGTTAACCTTTGATCAAAGGCCTGTGCATACGGAGGGGAAAGTGAGATTCCGCATTTGGGATTGGTGGGTAAAGCCACAAGATGAAAAGAAACATAGAAAGAGTCAGTTAAACCAATGTTTTTCAACCTTGGCAACTTTAAGATGAGTGGACTTTAGCTCCCAGAATTCATCAACCAGCATTTGCTGGCTGGGGAATTCTGGGAGCTGAGGTCCACCTGCCTCAAAGTTTCCAAGGTTGAAAAACACTGAGTTAAACTCTAGCAGACAAAAGTTGTTGGTTTGCTGCTATAAGCAGAGTTGAAAGTTTCAGCTTTATTACCATGTCACTCTGAAAAACATTATTTGGATGAAAGCGGGGAAAGTCTGCTGTGAAAAAACGTATTCCCTTTAGTGCCATTTCTGCTCACCACAAACATCTTGGAATGAAATATGCAGGACGTGCCACAGACTTGCTGCATTTGCGTCATACTAAAATGTGGTTTCTTTAACCATAGCTTACTGAAGGATCTGGCTGAGTTTGCATGATACCCTGAACCATGGTTTGCAAATTACGGCTAGATGAATATGTTACGCC